GTAGTATATCAAGCACAGTATGAATATAATATCATTCTAATATAACAGTAGTTTAACCGAAAACTATTAAAAAAACTAGTAACATCTCTTGAACATTGGAAGGTTAGGTAAAGTCTTTTGTTTTCGTCATGTATTTTATCCTATTTGACATTGAAATACGTCACGTTTCAGCAAAACTACTATTTATTTCTGAGAATATATTCATTCAGGCACAGTTTAGGTAAAATATACATGTGCTGTAACATTTTTTAATTGAAAACGATTAAAAAAACACGTACCCTCTAGCCCTGTTCAAGGAGAAGACTGGGAGGAGCTGTTTGGTGCTTCAGACGATGACAAGGAAAATGATTTTGATGGATTTTAATGAAAATATTCAGAAAGACCCTGGCACTGTCAAGGAAAGTGGCTGCTGAAGGCTTCCAGGACATGGCAGAGGACGAGATTAGGGAGCTAATTGAAGAGCACGACACTGAGCTGACCGAGGAGGATCTACAGGAGTTAGTAGACTCAGGCAAGGAAGAGGAAGCGAAAGGGAAAGAGGATGAGGAAGAGCACCAAGAAATAATGTTGGAGAAGTTGGGGGAGATGAACCAGGAATATTGTGGCACTGAAAAACCTGGCCTATAGTATGGACCCCTCCATGGTGCGTGCCCTGAAATTCATGCGAGGGATGGATGACGTTTTCGCTCCATACAAAAACATCATGGAAGAAATGAAAAAAGGAGACGACAACTCCCCATCACCATGTTCTTTGATCACCGAAGGAGAGATTTAACACCATCAATCACTGGATGCAGTGAGGAAGCAGCTGAATCCACCGTCGCCCCCACTTCACCACCCATTATGGAATTGAGTGACGATGAGCCCGATGTCACCCGTCCTGTCGCCGAGGATAGGTACTGTACAGTAAAGTGAAATTTTTATCTCTTTTTTTTAATAGCTTTTCTTGCCATGTTTATTGTTTGTAAAAATGCACAGCACAGTACAGTTCAGTACTGTACATAGGAAGTGGAGGTGCAGTTATTCACAAAACATTTGTGTTCGTTGTCGGCAGTAGTGACGGTGAGGAGGGAGCGGAGGGAGCGAGTTGGGAGGAGTGGTGACCTTGGACGCAGGAGCAGGGACGAGTGGAGATGCCAACCAGTACATTACGGGTGTATTAATTGTTTTTATAGCTATTTTTGCATTTTAATATTAAATATTGTACATTACGTTTCAACAAAACTACCATTTATTTCTGAGAACATGGAAATGTAATATTTTTGCTGAAATGCTGTACGTATTACAGTGGAAAGTGGGATAAAATTGTGACGAAAGCAATGACTTTCTCTTTCTTTCGTTCAAAAGATGTTACCGTAATCGCTTTTCGAATGGTTTTCAGTTGTGGGATTATAAGGCTAATGATAGGATAGAATATTATTGTAATACAGTACGAGTACAACAGTTTTTTAACTGGAAACCATTCGAAAAGCGATTACGGTAACATCTTTTGAATAACGAAAGAAAGCGAAAGTCAAGGTTTTCGTCTTTCCACTGTAATATGTACAGTCAACCCTCGCTTTACGCGGTCCCACATTCCGCGTTTCCACGTTTACGCGGTACCCTGCCGAAACAGGAATGCTCACATTCAGCGGTGCGTGTACCCCTTTACGCGGAGAGCGGCTGGCGAGCCGCGTCATTTTTTGATTCAAACCTCCCGCCATCTCTCCCGCCATCCGCCATGTTGTGTAAGCTGCGCGAGCATGGTGCGCACAAGGTCGCCCAGTCATCAAAACATTACCGAGTTCTTCACCTGCCACCCACCACAGCCGGCCCAAGTCAGTGATAGTGATAATTGTAGTTAAGATACTAACTTATATGGACTTTGAGGGGTTTGACAAAGAGGCCCTGCAAGCCTCTATGGTGGATAGTGATACAATTGTTACAAGTGATACAGGTGAGGGCCAATAATCTGCCCTCTGCCTCGGAACCAACCGCCCATCCCCGTGTGCCCAGCCATCTTTTCTACTTATGTAAGTGTTAGAAAACCTAATATTATTGATATTTCTCTTAATTATTAATTGTTTGTGCATACCATCATCAAGTTAAGATAATATTTTTACTACAACATAGTTGTGTGTCGTCAAAAAGTGGAGTTTGGGGGTCGGCCCGGACTCTATTTCAATTAATCCCATTTGTTATGTTATTCACTTTACGCGTTCCTCACTTTCCGCGGCACCCTATGGGTTACATTAACCGCGTAAAGTGAGGGTTGACTGTACGTCATTCCAGCAAAAATATTATATTTCCATATTTATTTCTGAGAATACTTATATTCATTCAGTCACAGTTAAGGTAAAATATACTTGTGATGTAATATTTTAATGAAAATACGGTATCGTAGTTTTCTTTTGTTTCAAATTTAATTAACAAAGATTGATGTTTCAAATGTAATGAACAAAAATTTATGTACAGTATCTATAAATAAACTTTAATAAATGAATACTTTGTTTTTACATCGTCCTGTGCTACCATACCATGGATTTGGCTACTTTGGGCTTGCAATGATGACGCAAGAGGTGTGCCTTGGCAACTGTACCGACACTCACAGCTGGTGGTGTGTTGGTGCATTGTTTCCATTGTTTACTGGTAGTTACAGGTAAATATTTTTCAACCTAATGAAACTATTACCCGTTTAGAGGTCGACCCCCAATTTTTTGCCAAATAATTTGGTCTTAAAAACTTGAACTACACACAGGTATACAGTATACGGTAAATAAGGGCATGGGGGACCAGGTTTTTTTTTTTTAGGGGGGGGGGCGCAGCACATATACGCGGATTTTTAACATCCACGGGTATCTCTGTTACGTAACCCCCGCGTATGTTAAGGGCCGACTGTATACGGTACATCTAAAATTTGTATGTCTATTGCAAATGTTAAGATGTTTATATTTAAAATGATCACCATCTTGTAAGGATTCCAGCAATGTAAATTGTATATTTTATGAGCTAAAAACATACATATATCTTCAGTAAATAAACAAATTATACTTTACCCTTGTGAATGAGTGAATTCACCTCGTAAATCGGGTATCCTGGTTCTGGCAGTACCGCGTAAATGACCAAACTCGTAAACGAGAACTGCGTAAATCGAGGTTCAACTGTATCTCACCTCCCCCCACCTCCCTCTTCCCACGCTCCCTCCCTCCCTCCCCCCCCCCTCTTCCCACGCTCCCCCCCCGGTGCCTTCCCAAACAAAAGTTTGGTTGTTTGTTAGGGTTTAAAGTGTTTATCTTATATAATATCTCAGACTAAAGTTAGGAGAATATAATTTGCATTGCTGGAATCCTTGCTAGACAGCAAATAATTTGAATATAAATGTCATATATTTTGTTCAAGAGATAAAAATTTTAGTGCATTAGTGTACAGTACTGTAGTACATTTTATAATATAAAGTTTTTCAACTGTATTTTTGGGTAGATTTACATAAATTTCTTCATTTATTTTCATCCATTTACATGCACACACCATACTAAAAGAAACATAAAAGAAATAAATGACCTTAGTGCAAAGCTGGAGTGCACATGTACTAAATTGATTACGGTACTAAAATTGTTCCGTCTAGTGCAAATTATAGCTTGTTTATGTTCAAATTAATCACTATCTTACAAGAATCCCAGCAATGTAAATTATATTCACCCAGGTCATTTCACTGGTTTTTTATAAGAGAGAAGCTTAGTCACTTAAGGATTGATAAATAAACACGCGTTAGACCTTGGGCGCCAACTGACAAACGTACCACCTCAACTCCGGCTCCCCTCCCTCCCTCCCTCCCTCCCTCCCTCCTCCCTCCCTCCCTCCCTCCCTCCCTCCCTCCCATCTGCCTAGCATTGCCGGAATCCTTGTAAGACAGCGAATAATTTGAATATAAACGTCATATATTTTGTACAAGAGATAAAAATTAATCACCTGTATCACATTACAGTAGTGATTTAAGAGTAAGAGTGTATATGTACGGATATAGTATTCCACATACACGTAAGTATAAATACAAAGTTTATGTGATGATCGGACAATGTCCATTTAGGTTAACGTCACGTTTCCAAGAACATATCTAGGACGTTGACTGGCTCATGACTGTATTGTCGATTCTTGTATATTAGCGATTCTTGTGTATTAACGATGAGTGAAGTGCGTAATGTAAATGTCGGGAGCGGTTCTGGTGGTAATGATGGCCGTAGAGAAGGTCAACAAGGAAAGCGCCAAGCCAAGAGTGACTATCGTTAGGGTGACCCCCTTACGGAAATACACCCTTGAAATGAAATGAGAGATGCTTGAAATTATCAAAAATGGTGCTTGTACCTGTGAAATCATGCGTAGGTTCAACTGCCCCGTATCAACCATACATTCCCTGAAGAAGAACAAGAAAGCCTTAACTGCTGTTATTGTTATTTTATGATTATTATTTTATGGATTGGTTATTGTTTCACTGTCATGAAATAATTTTAGAACTGGGTGTGTGGCCAACTGGACAACTACATGGCAGTTGAACATACTGTTAATTTGGAGATTTATAGGAGACTGTTTTTTCTATAACAGTGCTGTTAATTGAGAGTTATCGGTCGATGGATTGCTAGATAAAAGAGGGTCAACCTGTATTTAATTTTGATTTTTTTCTTCATATTTTTCCCCTTCTGTTAGATGTTGTTTTTAAGAAATATTAATGCTAGATATGGAATCTTTATGGTTTTGCCTTGATAAAAAAGTACTTGTATTGAAAAAGGGACCAGCTACCATTTTCATATTTTACTGGAGAATTAATGTTCATTGAGAATATTGCTTGGAAACGAAGGCCACATCCAAAAGGTTACTGTTGAGAATTGTGACTGGAAAAGATAGTGATCAGAAGATTAGGCCCATCTTTTATTTTGAGGATAATTACTGTTTTAGTCCAGACCCCCCAAACTACTTGGTTAGAAAAGGTTTATGTAAGTTGAATCTCATGTTTTTTCTTGCTACAGAGTGGGTCCTGGGCTAAGAAGGTGTGATCTGACAAATGAAGAAGATGTAAGTACCCTAATTAAGGAAGAAAAGCCTGATGTTATAATCCATGCTGCAGCCCAGCGTTTCCCAGATATTGTGGAGAATAAATATGAAGAAACGGTGCTTCTCAACGTGAAGACCTCTGCACTCATTGCTTCCATTGCACGTAAGAATACTAAGATATATATGCACGTAAACAAAATATGACCTAAGCTGTTATGTCACTAGGGATGTAATTACCACTATCAATAGATCTCAATCAATCAATCTCCCTAAAATTAATGCCAGCACTCACCATCTCTCAAGCACCATTGTTGTCACTGCTCAAGAGGGTTGGTGCTTACCACAGGATCTGTCTTTAGTACTTAATAAATATTATTGTAGTGTATAATGCATCTCCATATGCCCTGGTTTATTCACTGATCAGTTGTCTTAAGTGCAGAAGTTGTCAAATTGAGCCATCATGTGTTAATTAATTTTAAAATCTAAATTATAAATTAAAATATTATAAGAAAATGGCTTAGTAGTCCTGTTAATGTGGCATGTCACCTCACCTACTACCTCACCACCTTGCTCACCACCTGACTTGTCACCTCTCCTCTCACTTTGTCAGACCTCGTCAGTTCACCTTGCAGTTACATTTATTTATTACTGTATTACAGTAGACCCTTGCCATTCATAAGTTTGCGATTCAGGATTTCGACAATTCGCAGTAAGCAGATGGTGGCTATGGTGGCTACCTTGCAAGCGTTTTCTCGCACCACAACGTGTCACCCCACACAGCATCTCGTGTTGTACTTTCAAAACTTTAGTTTTTCTGTGTGAAATGGCCCCTGAAAGACTGCCTAGTGTCAGTGCTAGTGATGCTAGTGGAGTGAATTGTAAAATGCAGAAGTCAGTGATGAACCTGACAAAGAAAGTTTTATTATTAGATAAGTTAAAAGAGGGGATGAGTGCTGCTGCGACTGGTCAGTTGTTTGGTACAGGTATACTTACAGTTGTGCACTAAGGTAGTATAAGTTGCTATTCACGGTTTTGCCAATTCGCGCCATTTGCAAAATATTTATGTTTGCAGAGTAATTATAAATAGACCAAGAGCAAAATAATCCTGTGTTACCCAAGCAGTTGGTCTACCCACCCACACATCATCCATGTGAGGATGCGGCTAAACATGGTGCAGTATTTCATAACGCCGAGAACCTTTGTCCCTAGGGCCCGGAGCAGAAAGCTTTGGAGTGATTTTCTCACCATTTTCTATGATTTTCGGTAATTTTACATTACAACTCCTCCCCGACTTATGACGAGGTTAGGGACCCAAATCCAGGTCGTAAGTCGGAATTGAAAAAAAACAAAATCTAAAATGAAATACAGTACAGTTGAACCTCGATTTACGCGGTTCTCATTTATGCGTTTGGTCATTTACGCTGGTCATGTACACGGTACCTTACCGGTACCTTGCCAGAACCGGGATGCTCGATTTACGCGGTGAATTTACTCATTTACGCGGTTGAAGTATAATTTGTTTATTTACTGAAGATATATATGTTTTTAGCTCATAAAATATATAATTTACATCTTAACATTTGCATTAGACATACAAAGTTTAGATGTAATTTAAGGCGATCATGAAAATAAGCAAATATTTTATCTTTTGTGCAAAATATATGAAGTTTACATTCAAAATATTCCCTGACCTGCAAGGAATCCAGAAATGTCAATTATATTATCCTAACTTTAGTCTGAGGTATTATTTATTACTAAAAATGTAAATATACTGTTTTCTCCCAAATATTTCTCTGGTAGGGAGGGACCCAGCGAGTGTGGGAAGAGGGGGTGGGAGCAGAGGTGGGGTATTTTGATTGACGGATAGTGTCTGGGTGAATAATAATTTGTTTATTTATTGAAGATATTTGTTTTAGCTCATAAAATTCATACAAATTACCCGGCCAGAATATAATTTACATTGCCGGAATTCTTATAAGATTTTGATTATTTTAAATATAAACATCATGGAATTTGCATTAGACATACAAATTTTAGATCTAATTTAAGAATTTTGATTACAAAGCCAAAATTTTATCTTTTGTGCAAAATATATGACGTTTATATTCAAAATATTCCTGGCCTTGCAAGGAATCCAGCAATGTCAATTATATTATCTTAACTTTAGTCTGAGGTATTATTTATTCTATACCTTAAAATCTAGTGTTTTCACCCAAACATTTCTCAGAGAGGGAGGAGCCAGCGAGCGTGGGAAGAGGGGGGTCTAAATAGTGTGAGATATTATATAAGATAAAACTGTAAGCCTAAAACCATGGCTGGGCAGATGGGGGAGGGGGAGGGGGGAGGGAGGGAGCGAGCGTGGGAGGGGGGAGTGGGAAGTGAGGTGTACTTTGACCGCGAAGGTATTTATTTGTTTATTTATGTTTAAATCAGTTTTTGTTTTTTGCTCATAAAATTTCATAGAAGTGACCGGGGAGAATATAATTCCCATTGCTGGAATCCCCACAAGACAGCGATTAATTTCAATATAAACAAGCTATAATTTCCATTAGACATACAAATTTTAGATCTAATTTAAGAATTTTATTACAGAGAGCAAAATTTTTATCTTTTGTGCAAAATATATGACGTTTATATTCAAATCATCTGCTGTTTTGCAAGGATTCCAGCAATGCAAATTATATTCTCCCAACTTTAGTCTGTGATTTTATATAAGATACAAACTTAAAGCCTATTGTATAACCAGAAACCTTCACTGGGAGGAGGGGGGGTTGGGATGGAAGGAGGGAAGAGTGACAGTGACATGTTTGACAGTTGGCGCCTATGGTGTGAAGTATTTAATTGTTAATTTATGTCCTTTAGGTTGAGTTTTTGTTTTTTGCTTATAAAATTTTATAGAAGTGACCGGGGTGAGGGAGGTGTCAGTGGTGGTGTGAAGTAGGTGTTGGTGTGAGGGAAGTGTTAGTTGTAATGTGAGAGGTGTTGGTGGTGGTTTGAGAGGTGTTGGTTTGAGGAGGTGTTGGTTTGAGGAGGTGTTGGTGTGAGGAGAGTGTTGGTGGTAGTGTGAGGGAGGTGTTGGTGGTGGTGTGAGGGAGTGTCGGTGGTGGTGTGAGGGAGGTGTCGGTGGTGATGTGAAGGAGGTGTTGGTGTGAGAAGGTGTGGGTGTTGGTGTGGGGAGGTGTTGGTGTGAGGGAGATGTTAGTGGTGGTGTGAGGAGATGTTAGTGGTGGTGTGAGGGAGATGTTAGTGGTGGTGTGAGGTGTTGGTGTGAGGAGATGTTAGTGGTGGTGTGAGAGGTCTTGGTGGTGGGGTGAGAGATGTTAGTGGTGGTGTGGGGAGGTGTTGGTGGTGGGGTGAGGTGTTGGTGGTGGGGTGGGGAGGTGTTGGTGGTGGGGTGGGGAGGTGTTGGTGGTGGTGTGAGGGAGGTGTTGGTGGTGGGGTGAGGGAGGTGTTGGTGGTGGTGGAGGGAGGTGTTGGTGTGAGGGAGGTCTTGGTGGTGGGGTGAGGAGGTGTTGGTGTGAAGGAGGTCTTGGTGGTGGTGTTGGTTTGAGGGAGGTCTTGGTGTGTAGGAAGTGTTGGTGGTTGTGTGAGGTTTTTTTTTTTTTTTTTCATTTTTTCATGGCCATGGACGATATGTGATCGGACGTTGTTCGGTTGACGCTAATCAAGATGATTGTGTATATATATATATATATATATATATATATATATATATATATATATATATATATATATGTCAACCCTCACTTTACGCGGTTAATGTAACCCGCAGGGTCCCGCGGAAAGTGAGGAAGCGTAAAGTGAATAACATAACATATGGGATTAATTGAAATAGAGTCCGGGCCGACCCCCAAACTCCACTTTTTGACGACACACAACTTTGTTGTAGTAAAAATTTTATCTTAACTTTATGATGGTATGAAAAAACAAGTAATATAGAAGAGGTTAGGTTAGGAAAAATAAAGGTTAACATAGGAAAAATAAAGGTTAGGTTAGGAAAACTAAAAGTTATGTGGAACACTTACGTTAGTAGAAGAGATGGGTCGGCATACGGGGATGGAGGCTGGTTCCGAGGCAGAGGGCAGATTACTGGCCCTCAGGTGAATCACCATTACTAGGTGAATCACCATCACTGTCACTTACAGTTGTCAGGGCTTCCCTGACAAATCCCTCAAAGTCGTCTTCACTGTCATTATCACTGGCTTGGGCTGGCTGTGGTGGGTTGCGGGCGAAGAACTCGGTTATGCTTTTTTGACGGCTGGTGTTTATGTTGTCTTGATACACCGTGATGTACGGCTCCATAACCTGCACCAGCCGGGAATGGAAGACTTCATAGCGGTCATCGTCATTGTCGCGGGAAAGGAAGGACTTCATTTTCTCTGCACACTCCATGGCACCCTTAATATCACTATGACTTAAACTGTGTTCTTCGGAGAATGATGCACCTTCTTCCTCCTCTTCACTGACGTGATCTTCTTCCAACATCTCGTCGGCAGTCACTTCAGGATCTCTGATCACCTCCAGGATGTCATCGTTGGTGGTCTTGGAGAAGCCTGGAACTGTAACAGTCTGCGCAGCTTCTCTGGCAAGGTCCACTGCTACTGCAACAGTCTGAACCCACCAGTCACAGATTGACTCCTCCTCTCACCTGGTATTCCATGCAACACATGTCTCCATGCGTGACGAATTGTAGCAATAGACAGCTGATCCCATGACTCCACCAAGAAGTCCACAGCTTTCTTGATGTTAAATACTCTCCAGAATTGTTTGAACAGTATTTTTTGCTGTGCCAACTGTTGATCCTCATCTTCTTCGCTCTTGCTATCGGTGGTGGTGTCACTCAGGTTGCGCAACTCTTCCCTGGTGTTGGTGTAGTCGTTCAGGAGTTTGAATTTTTTCGTAGAGAATGCAGCTTTTACATTACAGATTAACTCTTGGTCCATGGGCTGTAATATAGACGTAGTGTTGGGAGGAAGGAAGACCACTTTTATGTTGGGGTGACGATCTGACAGTAGGGGCGAGTGTCCTGGTGCGTTGTCCAGCAGCAACAAAATCTTGAATGGCACATTCTGTCGCTCACAGAATTTCTTTACATCGGGAACAAAACAGTCATCAAACCAGGAGAGGGACAGTGTAGAGAACATCCACGCCTTACGTGCGGTC